TTTAGCATAATTTTATCATAACTTTAACTTGAATTTAACATATCATTCACTTTAACTAAACTTTATCTTAAGCTTAACCAACCTTCACTAAATTTTAGCTTACCCCGTAAAAAAATCCAATAAAAATACAATGAATTTCATTGTTATTGTGACCATGATATTTACTGTTAAAACATTGGACATTTTTGTTGATTACCATGAAATCACAACGGAATTCATGGTTCACAACAATGAAAATCAAGGTATTTGTGAAATTTACAATAAAAAAGGGGGGTTGTTAAGCATCTTAGCAATAAAAAAAACTGATTTTTCAAGAACAAATTTAATCTCATCACATTAATTTTCATTGTTTGAGCATTGTATCGTTAAAAATCTAAAATTTATTTTTCTCCGTTAAATAACTAAACAATAAATTTTAATATACTCAAAATTCAACAGTGAAAATCATTGTAATTTCATTGTTTTATTATAATTATTATTTTTCGGGAACTGAACTTGATTTTTTCTTTCATTAAACATAAACATATGTTTTACTAAAATATTACTAATTAACTAAACTTACGTTATTACTTACAACTATTACTTAATCTGAACTAATCAAATTTTTAATTCTCAATTTTGATTTAACTTTGACTTAATTTTATCTTAACTAGAACTTCCAAGAAGCTACAAAAACATCCAAGAACTGAAGTTTCCCGGATGTAACATGAACATAACTACAACTTAGCTTTAACTAAACATTAACTCAAATTTACCTTAACTTAAACTAAACTTATATCTATGTTTGATAGCAAAAAAAAAATATCAAATTTAAAAATTTATAAATTTTAAAAATTAAACAACTTAGTAGGACTTAGTGGCCAAAGGAAGTTTTAGGAATATAATAAATAGTTGCCGAGGGAGTCTATGTTACAACCAAATTCATCACTTTCAACATTGATAATGTTTGGAATGAATCATATTCATATATTTAATGCTTTTTGAATCTCAAATTCAACTTCACTGTAATTTCGCAATTTTTACTTACTTAATTACACAATTTTACTTACTTTCGTGAGTAAAATGTTGTATGTAAAAAAAAAGAAAGTGAGTAAACTTGACTCAGTCTGTGAGTCACTTTTTACGCCTGTGTACCCTCGGTATTGCTAGATAAATTTTGTTAATTTTTCTCTACATAAATATTAATTTAATTTTATGTATTCAATGTCACCGAGCTTATCTTCAAGTCACCGGACAGCGTTAGTTTAGGTTGCACCATCTCGACGGTGGACCTAACGAATCTGGATCATTAACTCAGTCCAACAAGGTACAAATAAGACAAATAAGTTTTTTATAACATTACTTATCCTTGATTTCATTTTATTCATCCTGTAAAGAATAGTACTCGACTGTCAAATTGACGAATGGAACTCCAACTGATGTCGCAGTCGTCCAACTTCATCCAGAGTTCCAGAGTCCACTAGTCTCCCGGATTATAGGCGCCTGCAATCGATTTTCATTGGCATCGGATATCGATTTACTTTAGACGACAACCTGATTCAAAAAATTCCCATATTGATTGGTATTTGACAGTAATTCCCACTTTTTCTAAAACCTGAAGCCACCTCTTCTTGGATCTTGGAATTCAAACTGACGTCGGATACCTATTTCCAATCTATAGACATAACCCGATCCCAAAAATACCCATTTTATAAATAATTGACAGTATTCCCAATTTTTCTTAAACCAGAAGCCGCCAGCTTTGATTTCAAAATCTCATCGGATATTAATTAGCGGCCTCTAGTCATTACCCCGGTTCTAAAAATACCCATATTTATGGATATTTGACAGTATTTCCCACTTTTTCCGAAACAGGAATCCTGTTTTTTTCCTTGGATTTCAAAATAGCGTCGGATATCGATTTCCTATCTGTACACGTCACCCCGATTCCAAAAATACCCATATAGATGGATATATGACAATATATCCCACTTTTTCTGAAACAGGAAGAGGCCATATTTGATTTAAAATGGCGTCGGATATCGATTTCCAGTTTATTGTAGATTGTAGTAGAGTTGGAAACTTGATCATGTTAACACTGCGCATCATTGTCTGGTAGTTCGTTAAAAAATTCTACAACAATCGTCAAGCTCGCTGTAACGTCACCTAGTGCCTCGTCATCCATGAATTGGCGCCTATGTCAGTAGTCTAATAACTCTTAGCGCGCTGATGGCATGGTTCCAATGCCGCATAGAGAGTTGCTACAATGATATTAGGTTAGCTAAGGTCAGTTAACTGACTGGTGGGGAACGGGAGCTTTAGCAATGACTATTATGTATGCATTTCTATAATGTAATCTAACAACAATGGTGTGAACTGTTTACAAAATCATGTTTGTAATTCTAATGTGTTGTATGGTTGAAAGCATTTGAAAAAAGTTAGATTCTAAAGTGGTTCTAGGAACTAGATTTGAGTTCCATTGAACCCGTCTTTGAATTCACATGTAATTCGATGTGTCGCATGATGGGTTTGACCCGAATCAGATGTTGGCCTCTTCCCCCGGGACACCCGGAATATGTCCGGATGTGGTCAAAATGGTTCTAGGAACTAGATTTGAGTTCCATTGAACCAGAAATTTAATTCTCATGTATTTTGATGTGTCGCATGATGGGTTTGACCCGAATCAGATGTTGGCCTCTTCCCCCGGGACACTCGGAATATGCCCAGATGTGGCCAAAGCGGTTCTTGGAACTAAATTTGAGTTCCATTGAACTAGTCATCAAATTCTCATGTAATTCGATGTGTCGCATGATGGGTTTGACCCTAATTAAATGTTGGCTTCTTCCCCCGGGACACCCGGAATATGTCCGGATGTGGCCAAAGTGGTTCTTGGAACTAAATTTGAGTTCCATTGAACTAGTCATAGAATTCTCATGTAATTCGATGTGTCGCATGAAAGGTTTGACTCTAATTAGATGTTGGCTTCTTTCCCCGGGACACCCGGAATATGTCCGGATGTGGCCAAAGTGGTTTTTGGAACTAAATTTGAGTTCCATTGAACCAGTCATTGAATTCTCATGTAATTCGATGTGTCGCATGATGGGTTGGACCCTAATTAGATGTTGGCTTCTTCCCCCGGGACACCCGGAATATGTCCGGATGTGGCCAAAGTGGTTTTTGGAACTAAATTTGAGTTCCATTGAACCAGTCATTGAATTCTCATGTAATTCGATGTGTCGCATGATGGGTTGGACCCTAATTAGATGTTGGCTTCTTCCCCCGGGACACCCGGAATATGTCCGGATGTGGCCAAAGTGGTTCTTGGAGCTCAATTTGAGTTCTATTGAACCATTCATAGAATTCTCATGTAATTCGATGTGTCGCATCATGGGGTTAAACCTAATAAAATCTAATCAGTTACTGGATGCTTCCCCCAGGGCACCCAGGATTGGCCTGAACCTGAATGATGAGGCATCCCTGGGAATATCGTCTGATTTTGGGTAGATTGTAAGTTTGTTTGTTATTATTGTTTGTTTAAGATATGTATATGCAAAAAAATCAAATATTTTAGTTATAAGAATTATTTTTGTATGTATGTTTAAAGGAATTTTAAATAAAGTCATTTGAAGGGTTCAACATTATTTACTTTTTATTATTAAAATCGCAAAAAGAAAGAAAATGGTGGTGCACAAACTACAGCCGCCGGGTAGCGCGCCGGGGGCGGACAAAGGGCGACCAAAGCGGCTAAAACGGTCAGTTTTTTGACAGGTATCGTTTTCGCCTCAGGCGCCCAAATGTTGCAAATATGGTCGCCCCCGGCGCGCCGGCGACCAAATGTGCACCAAGTGGCGCCGCGAGGTTCGAGTCGCCCAAGTCCGCCCCGTCCGCCGAGCGGTCCGGGGGCGAGCCGTGGGCGACTAGCCCGCTGTATGTGGGAGCCCAAGCCTGAAAGCCTCCCTAATAAAGATAAATTAATTAATTAATTATTCACCACCAGAGGTTGAATCAATCGTTTAGTTCCCAAAAGGCCTATAGGCTAGTCAAGTAGTGAGTCAATTTCAAATCGATAGTTTCGTATTGATTGTTGATAATATCTCGGATCACACCTGCCTTCGGAAGGGAAATAAAGCCGTTGGTCCCCGGTTCATGGATTGATAGGTCGATAGGTAGGGTCCAGGTGTGGGAGCTGCCTCCCTGGCGTCGGTAGCATTGGTGCACGGAAAACAAGATCGACGGAAAACAAATCAAGGGAAAAAAATCGAAACATGATTCGCTTTGATAAGGGGTAGCAATCAATGAGCTCGGGAATTTGTATTTAGTGTGTCAAACTTTCACGCAACATGCCCATAACTTGCGCACAAGTGACGTTTGTAGTACTAGATGAAATCTAAAAATCTCGTCCTCCCGATGTCATTCCGACAAAAACAAAGTGTTCGAATTTTTTTTTCAAGGAACAAAGTTTCATCAAAATTTTAATTTTGTAACTGTTGAGTTAATCCGAATACATGTAAGTAGTTCTATTTACAGTGGTTAAAGCGCTTTCCACTGTTTCCGGTCGTCCAGTAGGTGTAATATACGACAATATTCCTTTTATTCACGCAAGCCGGCTTAGCCCTTTTTTGTTTACATAATTTGCATCTCAATAATAATATTGAAACTGAAATTATTGCTTTAAAAAGATAATCCACACGCTATGAGGATGTACAAGTTCAAATAAATTCGCGATATTCATATCGATCGGAATACCAGAAGCTGATTTCAAATTTACATAAATAGCCAAAATTGTTGTGAATGAATTATGTATCTTTCATATAAAAATAGCAAATCCTTTCCCTAATGAGAACCTTGCGTGTCTTGAAGCAATCAGATTTCTCCAGTTTGTTTAAGATAAGTCTGTCCGTCATGAAATTACGGTCAACCGACAGTCGAGCCAGCCTGTGATGACGTCTTTGATGTCGTGCTGTTCTCATCGTTGGCCACGCATATTCACCTAATGCATATTCAACGTTTTCTATTTTCAGAATGTCCCTGCTGGCACTTCGTCCCCTGTTGGTTAAAAATCGTTTTAGTACCCTTCCATTGCTTCGGATCGCATGCACCATTCCGGTTCCCAAGCAAACTCGTTGCTATGCTACCGCGGAAAAGAAAGCGACCGCTCTGTCAGCGGCTTCCGATAGGACCGATGTCTCAACGGATGTTCGACCGCTGGGTGAGCGTGTGAAGGAAAATACCAAAACCGCCAGCTATATGGGAGTGATTGTGCTCGGGGTGGGAGTCACGAGCGTGCTATTTTACGCCATCTTCAAGGAACTGTTCTCCTCCAATAGTCCGAACAATATCTATACGGAAGCGTTGGAGCGGATTAAGGACGAACCGAAGGTGAAGGACGCGCTGGGAGCTCCGATTAAAGGTTTTGGAGAGGAAAGTCGGAGAGGCCGGAGGAATCGCGTGGCACACACGACGTACGTGCGGGACGGTGTCCAGTACATTAGGATGCAGTTCTACGTTCAAGGCATTAGGAATAAGGCGACCGTGCATTTAGAGAAGAGATTGGTAAGTTGATGGTTTTGATAGTATTTAAACAATAATCTAATTTTCTGATTTCTAGAACGAATCCGGTCAATACGACTACCGCTATCTCTTTGTCCAGCTGGACTACTATCCGCATAGTACGATCATCCTGGAGGACAACCGCCTCCAACAGGATGCCCTACAATCCGTGCCGAGTTTGCAATCAATTGTTTGAAATGTTTTTTTTTCACGCTACTCTGTCGCCAATTTACGTCACGTTATTGTAAATATGTTAGGTTTTTAACGTCTATACTAGGGAAATGAAATGGAGTTTTCTTTCGAAAGTAAACCATTCTGGTGATTTAGTTCTCAAGTTCTATGTTTCGAAAGCTACATCCCTTTCTGCTTCCATGGTACAACCTCCATCGCTCGGATCATGTAACTTTCAAACAGCCAATCCTTGAGCTTATCGGCAATCCACAGGAACACGATTAGCACCGAGAAGTACTGGATCCAGAATTGAGCCCCCTTTTGCCAGAGGGAAGCATTATACAGAAGAGCAGTGCGCGGGCAGTCCTCTCCACCGATCAGCAGTTCAATCGTGATTTCGATGTCACCACTTCCATCCCGTGTCCACCGGGAGCGTTGCTGATCAAACTCGAAGTAAGCGGCGTTCGATGACTCGATTTGATGCAGGATCGATTCCGGGAGGAATTCCTCAACCGAGGTGTAGTTTTCATGAGGGTAGTAATTGTGACTGAAGTGCGATTTGATGCTACGCATCGGGAATGGACATTGCAGCGAGGCCGTTTGGCTCGCCCTGAGATGACCGAGGTGGGTAATTGTACCGGATGCGAATGGTTGGGTTGGTGCGATTTGTTTGTTCAGGGCGATTAGGGCAGGGATGGAAAAGTGACAATTGCTCTGGAAGAAGGGAATGGGTGAGATTGATCAAGGATTTATTCATTTATAAAAAACTAGTTTGAAATTTCGATGGGGTTTTATCAATTCAAGCTGGACAATGTATTAGGTCCTAAGCAGGCATGGAAAATCATTTACATTCATTTCATGCAATCATTTACATTCATTTGCCTCTAACTTTTTTCGTCAACAGCAATCTGTAAAATGATGTATAGAACTTTAGTAGGTTTTGTTATTAGCTACAACTTTTGCCCATAACTCAAATCTGTATCTCTTATGCATCACGGATTAGAGCGGGCAGAACTTGTTACTGTTTTTCAGTGAATGTAAAATACATTCACTGAAAAACAGTAGTGGATTCTGTTTGCTCTGGTTCGTCATACATAAGATATACGGATTTGAGTTGTTAACAAAAGTTGTAGTTAATAACAAAACCTACAAAAGCTTCATACATTATTTTGCGGAATTCTGTTGATGAAAAAAGTTAGGGGCAAATGAATGTAAATGAATGCACGAAATGAATGCAAATGATTTTCCATGCCTGGTCCTAAGTAACATTGATCGATTCTCTTCATCGACTCTCTCTTTCGTTAATAACTTAGGTACATAACCGTTTCTTGTCGTGTTTGTTGTATTAAAAGCTAGATCATAGCTTCTTTCATTGATCTGTGTACTGAAAATAGCTGGGCATGTTTTAACACGACCGTGAGGATGCAAAGAGAAAGTCGACGATTAGAATCTGTCAATGTTACTTAGGACCTAATGCATTGTTCAGCTTGAATTATAAATTCAGTTTTGCCATGATTTATTTCCACTATAAATAACTATAAAATAAATATTGATGAAACTTCCGGAATCGTTCGGAAACACTTTTCAAAAGGTTCCAAGTAACAAATGTAAACAAATCGAGTTAATCGATACAAACTATTGCACATCTATCATTGTATGTGATACAAAAATAGCCATCAAAATTTACTTTCATTATCATAGTTCAAAAATTGTCCAATGTAATGTTTGAAATGAAAGGTACGTGATTGTTACTTCAGACATTTCGACTGGCTAACATAATTAGCTAACCAATCTAAGGTTAGGTACTCTATTCTGAAATCTGTGAAAGCAAGAGCAAATTTTCAATACGTCGAAAGTAACAAAAGTAAACAAAGTCGAGCTATCAGTTTCAATCGATTCTCCTGCTATAAAACTATGTACTGTCCGAATGTAGGATCACATCCCATTTTTAAATTTATTTACCAGCCAAATTGCTTTTTGACGTAATCACCTTCCGATCAAAATAGTTTTCGATGTTACTTAAGTCACCCGATTTCTATGGAGACGCCGTTTGACTTAAGTAACAGCGCTGAGAAACCCGTAAAAAAAAGTACGTTCATCGTTTCGCTTTCTCATTATTATAGTGAATACGGAGGCGAACCAGCCTAAGGCTGAAAGCCTCCTAAATAAAGCTAAATTAATTAATTATAGTGAATAAATCGAACTGTTTGTTGCTAAGATGATTTCGGTGGTCCTAAAATGATGAATGGGCTGCACGTAAGGAGACGTAATTGATAATTCTCCCGAATATCCTGGTAAATACACTTTGATTTAAGTAACTATAGGGGCCACCAAACGACATATAATAACTTTTGACTCAAAAACCAGTATTTTTTAGCATGAAAGCTAGCGATTTGCATTTGTATGATTAAAACCCTGCTAAATATGTTAAACATTGCTATCGCTATGAGATTATATATGTTTAATTGGAAATAGGAATAACTTTTCGGTCATCAAAACAAAACTTTATTTTTCTCGGATTGGTGCGAATGTTACTTACGACATAATGAAAATTTGCTCTTAGGGTATCTAGTCTCATGTAGAACAAAACGTCCAATGTAACACTCATTGAGTCTATGAGCAGTGCATCAGTGCACACATCAATCCTAGATAGAGCTGAAATTAGGGCCTAACAGCTTTTGTAAACAATGACTTCTCTTGATGATTTCTAGAAATTTAAGGCTCGCCCACGCAAACCAACATCCTCACCAGGTACGGAAAGCCTTCCCCTATCCGATGGTTAGGTTGGTCTGCGTGCACGTGCCTTGAATTCCTAGAAATCATCGATAGATGTCATTGTTTACAAAACCTGTTACGCCCTAATTCCTGCTCTATCTAGAATCATTCTCTGCTTGTTCGTCAAGCAGTTCAGTCCAGTTTTTGCTCGCTCTGTCGAGTTGTTCGATTGTTTATTCCAAACGTTTATTTGCGTCGTCAGTAGTGTCGGTCGCATCAAGTGATGGGAAGACAGCGCTCTTGGAGCAGGCTCCGTGAGAAAGCGGAGAAGAACAGTGGTAAGGGTAGCACGAGTGTACCTATTTCAAATAGGTACGCTACTCTTCCCACCGATGTTGGGAAAACCACCTCCGCCACGGTGAAGCGATCCAAGAAGAGGAAGAAAAACCAAGGCCAGTCCGGTGGTGCGAGTGGACGTGACGACGCCGGCCCGAGTGCGGCAAAAGTGGAGTCACCTCCATTGGTAGTGAAAAATGCCCATCTTAATGAGCTCATCGCGGATCTAGCGACGCTGGGCGTTAAAGCCGAATACAAATTGGGCAGAGTCGCCACCAAGGTGGTGCTCCGTACCAAAGCGGAGTATGACCAACCGGTGGCAACTAACGATTTTAAATTGACTCACTACTTGACTAGCCTATTGGTCCCAAGCAAATCGATTAACGTACCCCATTCTAGTCGAAATTCTAGTACTACACTATGAAAGTTTGACGGATAAAATGAGGGGTTCATGGATTTTCCTATGTTTCTAGGGGTGCATCGATTAGCTTGGGACCGAAGAGAGTACCAGAGCTCAGTCAAAAAGTTGAGCACGTTTCTTCGGGACCGTTGAGTTACCTCTATGGTATGACTTGGTCATCGCCCACCTGAGGACTACCAAGGTGGAATTCTTCACCCTATACATTCCCGGTGAGAAACCATTCAAGGTCGTCATCAGAGGCCTACCAAATTTCGACCCGAAGTTTATCGAAGCTGAAATCAGGGACCGGTACAAGCTGGCCCCAAATGCCGTCTATCGGATGACAAGGAAGGACGAAAATGTGAAGGCGTATCCGGATTGCCTTTTCCTGGTACACTTCCAGAAGGGAACGCTGGGAGCCATACCGTGGGGGCCATCGCGATGTGACTCAGTGCCCGCGGTGTCTGATATTTGGACACGGTACCCGCAACTGCAACATTAAGCCACGCTGCGGCAAGTGCGCTCAAGACCACGCCACTTCCGATTGCCCTGCGGATACCGCGGCGTTAAAATGCGCCAACTGTGGAGGTGCTCACCAAGCTGTGCCCTAAACGCGAGGATTTCAAGCGCATCCGAAATCAGGCATCCACCAACAATCAACCAGCACGAAGGAAGGATAAGGCCCCGGCTTTCAAGGCGGAGGACTTTCCGCCTCTTCATGGACAAGCTAATCCACGGGTGCGATCCGCCCCTCTCAAGAAACGTCTGGATCTTCTGCTGGACAAAGCTGGATTCTGGAGATAACCAACAGCTCACCAAATAATCCCGATCTGTTCTCAGCGGATGAATTGATGGAGATTTTCATCAACATGACCGGTTCTCTACGGAAGTGAAGCAATAAGCCCGAACAGATCCAAGTGTTTGGTAAGTTCATCATCCAGTATGGTGCCTAAACCGCTAACCATCGCTACCTGGAACGCTTGCTCTGTAAGAGCTAAACAGATTGAGCTTGCCGACTTTCGCTGCAAGCATAGCATCGACGTGGGTCTTCTAACCGAAACTCACCTAAAGTCCGGTGACAGCTTCTGGTTGCCTGACCACAACATTATCCGGTTTGAATCGTCAGAAAGAGAATCAATTTCTGCACTCTGCCCCACATCCGCACTTCTATCATCGAGGCCGTTAGTGTGGAGGGGGAATCACCAACTGAAAACGTCCGGTTTATCGCTGTTTACTGCCCACACCAGTGCGTGTACCACAAGCAACGGCCTAGGCATCCAATTCAAGAACGACCTGACCGCCATCACTCGTACTAGCTCCCGATTCATCGTTGAGGGCGACCTGAACGCCCGCCATGACGCTTGGTGGAACTACCAGCGAAACTGGAACGGATGTCTATTGTTCGACCACGCACAACATGGACTGTACACTAGACTGATGCAAAATTTGACTTTTTCGCTCCACAGTGCTTAAATGGTTTCAAATCGGGTCCTGATTAGCCTCCCAAAGTTATAACTCATTTGGTTAGAAACAGACTTCGCACAAGCCATTTGAAGTTTACATGTAAATTACTATGGGAAATCTCAACTTTTTGTTCATTGCCTTCTAGTCTTTTTCCATATTGAGCTGCGAAACAGTTTGATAGTCATTCTTATAGAAAATTTTCTCAGCTACATTTTTCTTGAAGATCGTTTCTATGTAAAACGAGACAGGAAAAAGTTATTAATTATTTAAGAGATTGGTAAATTTATGACATAATCAAGCAGCTGCTCTGTAGGCAACACTGTGTTTTGCAGTGTGACATAGAAGCCATGATTTGTGTGTCCTATTCAACGCCTCAGAAACACCAATGTTGCCTTCTGAGCAGTTGATTGAGCATGATCATAAGACATCAGCGCATTGAACCATTGATAACTTTCGATCCCTGAATTTAATCAAAAAGTGGTCTTCAGCAAAGTTGTAGCTGGGAAAATTTGAAAGATTTTGAAGCAGACCGATATGGTGAATTATTAGATAGACATGAACAAAAATCTTGGTTTTATCATAGTAATTCCCATACAAGCTTCAAATGGTTTGTGCCATCTCAGTTTCTCACCAAATGGGTCCAAATTTTGAGAGGTTAGTCAGGATCCGATTTGGAATCGTTTAAGCATTGTGGAGCGAAAATTTCAAATTTTGCATCACTCTACTGTACACTGCAATTTCCGGACGAACCAACTTTCATCTCTCCGGTGGGAAATCCCTCCACCCTGAACGTTTTCCTTTCAAACATCTGACTATCCAAGCCGGAGGCGCACAACGATCTCAGCTCCGACCACCAACCGGTGGTGACTGAAGTCGGTGTCAACATGGTTCCTGCTAGAAGCTGCCTGCGTAAAGACTAGCACCATGTCAACTGGGTACAGTACGGACGAATGGTGGACAGCAACATCGATGAAAATCCAGCACTCACCACAGTAGATGACATCGACCGGGCGTTGGAAGGACTCCAACAGGCCATATCCGTGGCTGACGAGGCGTGTGTTCGACAAGTTCCTGTGAGGGGTGAGTTTGTTGCTATTGATTCCCACACCCAATTACTGATTCGGTTGAGAAATGTTCGTAGACGCCAGTTTCAGGACTGGGGCTCTGGACAAAAAACGTGAAAGGGCCGATCTGAACAGGCAGATTGCTTCCAGAATGGACTCACTCCGAAATGAAAGGATGACCGCTCCAGACCATTATGGAAGGTAGCCAAGGTCCTGAAAACTCATCCCAAACCCATTCCACCTCTCAGAGTCGAAAATGATGACGATCGGCTTTTTATCACCCCACAGGAGATAGCAAATGCGATCGGCAAGCATGTCGTTTCATCGTATTTGCTTGGCTCGAATATCCAAAGTCCGCAAAGCAGGTTGCGCAATGCGTTAAAAACCTAGATGCCTCCCCTTGTGTCGAGCCTCCGACGGATATGATTACAGTACAACAGATATGCTCAGCGCTGAAATGCACCAATAATATGAAGCCTCCCGGGTTGGATGGTATATTCAACTTGATCTTGAAGAGACTCAGCATAAAAGTGCAGTCTCTTCTAACCGCTATCTTCAATGCTTGGAACTGCACTACTTTCCAAGCATATGGAAAGTAGCTAAAATCATACCAATCCGAAAACCCGGTAAGGATCCAACATTGCCTTCAAGCTACAGACCAATCAGCCTCCTTTCAGCGCTGAGCAAATTGTTCGAGAAACTCATTCTCAATCGTTTGCTCAAGTTTGTCGAGGAAAACAACATTCTCCTTCCGGAACAGTCTGGATTCAGAAAGGGGCACTCCACCAATCACCAGCTAGTACGGGTGATAAATAACATCCGAAGTAACAAAGCTATATCCAAGTCCACAGCCATGGCCTTGCTAGACGTTGAAAAGGCGTTTGACAATATTTGGCATGACGGACTTGTGTACAAGCTTCGTAACTTTAACATCCCATTACATCTAGTTAAAATCACCCGTAACTACCTCCAGCAAAGGTCGTTTAAGGTATCGTTGAATGGTTGTCTTTCAGACACGTTTTCCATCCCAGCAGGAATCCCGCAAGGCAGTCTGCTGGGCCCCTTGCTTTACAGCATTTACACTTCCGACATTTCTCCCCTCGGAGACGGATGCGTGTTTTTCCTGTTCGCAGATGATACCGCAATAGCCGTCAAAGGAAGGATGCCTCGAGAAATAACGAACAAACTTCAACGATGCCTTAACGCCTTTGCTGATTATGCCACCACGTGGAAAATCAAAATCAATCCCTCCAAAACACAAGCGATCATGTTCCTCCATCGGAAACCGAAACCGGCTCCATCTTGTACTGTAATCATGGATGGCACAAGGGTTGAGTGGTCTGCCGAAATAACCTATCTCGGGATGTTGTTCGATAAAAAGCTCCTCTTCCGTTCGCATGTAGAGTTAACTGTGGTCAAGTGTTCTACTTTCGTTAGGTGTTTGTATCCGTTGATTTGCCGCAGATTCCGCCTCTCAAGGGTGAACAAACTGGCTGTCTACAAACAAATCATAGTACCTGCGATCCTCTACGCAGCTCCGTGTCGTGACCGGACCGAGGTTTCCAGCCTCGGTCACGGCTACACGAATCTCGGCTGCTAAGCTTCCACTGCTACTGCTGCTATTCCTGTTGCTGCTGCTGTTCCTGCTGCTGCTGCGGCTCGTCCGTCGCCTTCAACGTTCGTCACAAGAATGCCTTCTGCGAGTTTTTTTTTTAGTTTAAAAAAAAATGATCTATATTTCTTGAATTCGTGTGGTTTACATGTATAACTTATCAAGTGACACAGATGCGTCTTTTCAACTTTAGTTCTTTTGATATTTAAATTATTATTAATTACAGTTCCTAGTCCTATCAGGCCTGTTTTAAGAATGACCACCTTGGTGGGAGCCTTCTGCGAGCTTAGTTAGCCCATATTTATACCAAAAGAATGTTCCCTATTTACACAGCACTGCTAGCTGTCTCGGGATTTGCCCTCACAAAGCAATGATAGTTAGATTTTATAAACATTCACGCTTATTTGGGTTTACTCAAATTACGCGTTTAATTAATGACTTAATTTTCATTTTTTTTATCATTATTATTTTACACCAACTCTATACACCACACTCCGGTGTGGGAATCATGTGCACAGACTCACAGAAACAAAATTCAGGTCGCTCAGAATAGAGTGCTGAGGATGGTTCTTGATCGTCCTTTCGACATTAGAATAACAAATTTACATGAAGAGACAGGCATTGCCAAATTAGATTCCAGAATTAACATGCTTTGATAAGCAATTTGTGTATAGTAGATTATGTGTATACACGCTAACTTGTGCTTACTCACCAGGTGAGTCGATCGTACTCACTTTCGTCCGATGTATCGAGTTGTCAAAAATTGAGTAAACGAGAAATGTCAAACTGAGTAAAAGCCACTCAGTCAGCAAAATCCTGGACTTGGAAAAAATGCCAGTCATGTCGGAGGAAACCTCATAGAAAATGTTATTCAAAACCGGCGGGAATGACTTCAGGTAAGTACGAATTGCTTAGGGAAACGGTGTTGAACCGTTTTTTCTCCGGTAGAATGAATCCGGAGCAGGCAATTTCCATTTCCTTGAATGAAAATCAAAACAAAAACCCTCCCCGCAACTGAAAATACCGGCGAGTGGATTTGACTCAGTCTACGTGAGAACGTAGTTTACTCAAAAGTGAGTCAACATAAGGCTACTCAATTTTGAGTAGCCATACTTGCCGCTGAGATGAGTACATTTGACTCAATTTTGAGTTGACCATAATAAGCGTGTACACACTATTTTTATTTTGCTGGAAACCAGCAGAGTTTTGCTGGATTTTGCCGAGCTGTAAAATCAGCAATTCATCCAGCAAAATATTGTTGCTGAACGACCAGCAAAATGACCCGACGTAAAAGTGACAGTTGTTTACTGAAACACCAGCAATATTTACTGGATATCCAGCAAACCCGAGGGGCAATGATTTTGCTGAAAGATCAGTAATTTGTTGTAATACGATTGAATTGTAATTGCATTTAAACATGAAATAAAACACAATCTAATTTTGTATTATATTACGCACTTTTAAATTTCGCATAAAAATCACATTAAGACGATAACAACTGTTGTTCATAATTTAAAAAAGGATAATAATTTCCTTCGATCCATCGTACACTATACACTCATTGACTGTCTAATCCGGCAATTGTTGCAGCTACATTTAAGCAGAGAATAGAACTATTACAAACTAGATTTCAAATTAAATTTGGAGTTCACTATAAATTTGCAATTATTCTCATTGTTTATACCTGTAATTAATGATAGCTGGCACAGTTGAAATTGCAAAACAGAATACGCGGGAAAGTGAAGAGTGATATTTTGACAGCTCACACACGTTACTGAGCATCCAGCAAAATATTTCAAATTACTGAACATACAGCAGAACATTGTTTTGCTGGAAGCTGTTCAGCAATTTGTTTTGCTGGAACTTGATTTCAAAATTGAGTGTGTATAGTAGGTTAGTTGTAGTTGTAAATAGTAGATATAAGTAGTCTCCTTTTTCAAATTTAAAACAAACCTATCCCACCAAGGTGGTCATTCTTAAAACGGGCCTGATAGGACTATGAGCAGTAATTAATAATAATTGAAATTCAAAAGAACTAAAGTTATAATCTGTCGAGCTTCAACCACCGTCGGTGGTTCAACTTCAGTTTTCTCAAAATGGCCGACATGTTACATTGGTCCTTCTGAAAAATTACGCCTGGCTAGGATTTCACAGCAAATTGACTCGAAATCGTTACCCGATTGTCAAGTCCCGCCCCAGGTAAAAAGGGTAAAAAGTGCAGCAGCTAAGCGAAAAGTTGACGTTTCGAGACAGAGCGTATCTGTCAGATTTTCACTTCACCGGAGTTATAAACTGATCGATTTCACTTCACGTGAACCGTGCACTTCGAAAAAAGAGAATTGAAAAATGTTCGTCAAGCGTTTTTTCACATCCTTTTTCCCTAACGAAATTAAATAACGCTTTGAACGGTATACTAGGATTAAGTAAAAAGAAAATTAAAATATAAAAATAGCCAAAGTGTCCCGCCCCTTGCATTTACCTTAACCTGCACGTCCAAGAAGAAATAGAATGTGTAAAACACCAACCCCAGTGAATCGTCGGGTAGATTGAACGCAACGGATGCACTTAGCCTATCTATTTTGCCATCTATGTTGCCATCGTCCGCTGTTACCTACAATTAAACCCATAAGCAAACGATCTCTTTAAACTTCCATAAATCACACTGTACCTTGATGGCACTGCAATCCTGCCGTTGCTCAGTTAGCTCGTTGTACGATTCAAACGAGCTGCATGTGATCAGATGCCGGCTTACACTTGCCGCTTCGGTGCGATCTACTTCCGCCAGGAAGAGGTACCGATAGTTGAAGTGCACTTCGGGCTGTTCGTAGACCAGTCGATAGCGATCCCACAGCGCACCGGGGTTGATGAACGATATGACGTAGTAGGGGAGGATCAACGAGAGCAGCACTACCACCGTGATTGTCAGTGTTGAAAACGAGCACAAATGGTTCTGGTAGAGAACGTAAATTGATTTCCTGTGCAGATTGAAGAGCTGCATGATTATTGCGGTGGCTTTTAGATCTTTCGGACTGTTTGTTTTTTTTTTTGGGAGGGCTGACATCAAGACGAACAAACTGTTTGAATCATTGGGTTGCCATAGCGACGAGTGGAGCGGTCGCACGTGTTCCATTGCGCACGCGCGTGTTTTTGAAGGAGCTTTCTCTAACGGTTCAAAGATGTCGCTTCCTTTGATTTAGATGTATTTTCATTGATTTATATTCTTTGTCAGTCTTATTCTAGGTCAAACGAAACTATTCATCCCTTAGCTCTGGTATAGGTCGCTTGAATTTTGAACGAATGCGACGTTTTTTTTTTTGAATTAAACACATTTGTAGTGCAGGCAAGGGATGCGGGCAAATCGTAGAGCGGTATGACTATGTGATTCACAATAAATCCGTTTTAAAAGCTAAGATCGCTACACGGTAAGCTAGAAGTATACAAATGCAATTGTCTTTCAAATACTATGCTAGGTATAGGTTATGTCGTTTTTGTTCTAACGAGTTCAACACCGGTGTAGTGCTGCACTTGGGCACCACCAGTATTCAAATTCGAACGATGATGAGCTGTCGATGGTTTGCGCTTGTTGGTGCCACCACCCCGGTGTAGCTACACCGCAAAAACGAAAACTACATTAGGTACAACAGCCGAAATGCCACAAGATGACTTCCTTTCTTAAAAATGAAGTCCAAGCATCCAGGCGAAGTGTCGCTTATTGCGCTTTCACGGCGGCCTGTTTCTGCGCGTAGTACTCCTTGCGGAACTGTTTGTTCATGGTTCCACCGACCAGGGTTCGGACCCACTCCGGTGCCAGTCGGATCAAGCAGTACTGGATTCCGTGGGACCAGTAGCCGGTGGTTTGTTTCGATTTCCCTAGCGTGAAGACGGCATGCTTGGCGTACGATTCGGCGTCCGGGATGAATAGACCGCCCTTCATCACCGTGGTGGAGAAGTTGTTCATCTGGAATGGAGGAAATTGATTGAGTTGTTTGGAATAAGTTTTACCGGTGAAGAGCGGTAGGCATGCGAGATTTCTTTGAGGTCAACTCCTTGGTTAGAGGGTACTCAACAAGATTACCCCGATAGTTTGGTGATGGCTAAGGAATTGTTTAAAGGTACCCCAAGAATTGTTGATTCAGAATCAAAAACATCTTTCTAAAGACAAAATGATCACAGAAAATTCATTTTAACTCGGATATTTTTGAAATTCTCAGGGAATAAATAAACACATATTAGCTATGTTTTTTTGTTGTAAAGTTGGTTTATTCAACACTACGGACTTAACACTACCCATCAAATCCTGTGCCATACATGCGCCATCTTTCTTACACAATTTCATCCACTCTTTCTTCAAATCCTTGTCATTTTTGAAGATTCTTTGTTTTCCGGAGCTTGCCCTTCATTAACGCCCAGATTTTTTTTCTATTGGGCGAAGTTCTGGTGAATTTGGCGGATTTGCCTCCTTCGGCACAAAAACAAAATCGTTGGCTTCGTACCACTTCATCACCGGTTTCGCGTAATGGCACGATGCCAGATCCAGCCAAAACAGAGTGTCACCTTCGTTTAAGGAGCAAGGACAGCAGGCGCTTCTGGAGGCATTCTTCTTTATATATTTGGCCGTTGATGGTGCCGGTCGTTATGTACGGCTTGCTGAATTTGCCGCACCTACAGATCGCCTGCCACACTAAGAACTTCTTGACAAATTTGTCAACCTTCTTCTTCTTCTTCCAGAACTTCTCCGGAACATCCAGGCCGGGGATCTGCTTAGTGTCCGCTTTAATGTTTGTCTCGTCGTCCATTACGATGCATTTCGGCTGCACCAACCACTCGCGGTACAGCTTCCTGGCGCGGGATTTGGCCATCGTATTCTGTTTATCGGTTCGGTTAGGTGCCATCCCTACCTTGAAGACAAGAAGTCCGACCCGCTTCATTGTCTGCTGGACGAACCAGACTGAAGAATTGACCTTCTTGGCCAGGTCCCGAATCGAAAGGTTCGGATTGCGCTTGAAGTAATCCCTCACTTTCCTTGCGTTCACGGGGTCTTTCTTCTGCTGCCAGCTCGCCGCTGGGTCGTCTGGGTCTAGGTCTGGGTCTCCTTGAACGATTCTACCACACGGGACACGGTCAAATTTGTCGTTTCCAAACTGTTTCGCAATCCACCTGTGGAACTGGCCTGGATTTTACACGACCGCTCCATATTTTTTTGTCGAAGCACGTCTTGCTTGGAAGCCACCTCGATAACCACTTGACAGATTGTGACGAAATTTTGCACATGTAAACATTACACTCTAAACTAGTTTAACTCAAAATTTCATCACATAGTTCCAGGCCAGTGACAAGGCCTATACCAACAGCAGCGTTTGACAGTAAGCAGCATGTCCCGGGCTCAAAACGTTCATTTTGCTGTGCTGGGCCCGCTGTCATGGTTCTCGTCTTGGAGTTTCTATGCAATTGGTTTTTTGGTTGGAATCCTACCTTACAGAGCGTGTACTTCGAGTGAAGGTTGAGGGTTGTGTATCTTCACCGTTTTCAAACAAGTCTGGAGTTCCACAAGGTAGTAATCTCGGACCGTTGCTGTTTATTCTGTTCTTCAACGATGTTGCTTTGGTTTTGGGCGAAGGATTCAAACTGGTCTATGCAGATGATTTAAAGCTGTACATTGTGGTGCGCACACAAGAAGATTGTTGGCTTCTGCAAAACTCGCTGACTTTGTTTGCCGATTGGTGCCAGAGAAACAAACTGACTGTTAGTGTGGAACATGTCAGATAATCACGTTTCACCGCATGGTACATCCAATTTTGTTTGACTATCATATCGACGGTGATACTCTTACCAGAGTTTCCAGTGTGACTGATCTATGGGTTCAACTAGACACAAAAATGACTTTTGATTTACACCGTTCAGCGCTCATATCGAAAGCAACGCGACAGTTGGGCTTTATTTCTAAGGATCGAACGGGTTCAGAAACGGTTCATTCGTCTGGTACTGAGAAACTTGCCGTGGAGTGATCCTGACAATTTGCCGCCGTATCCTGATAGATGCCGACTGTTGGGCTTAGACACTGGAACAACGACGGAAAGTACAGCAATCGTTGCTTATTGCTAAGCTGTTGAATGGTGAAACTGATGCCCCCGACCTGCTTGCGATGTTGAACTTTCGTGTGCCGAGCAGATCTCTTCGGAATACATCCATAGAGGTAACTCTAAGACCAGAAGGTCCCGAAATAACGTGCTCAACTTTTTGGCTCAGCTCTGGTACTCTCTTCGGTCCCAAGCTAATCGATTCACCCCTTGAAACATAGGAAAAACCAATAACCCCTCATTTTATCTGTCAAACTTTCATAGCGAATCAAAACAAACATTGCGTAGTACTAGAATTTCGACTAGAATGGGGTACGTTAATCGTTTGCTTGGGACCAATAGGCTAGTCAAGTAGTGAGCCAATTTAAAATCGTTAGTTTCGTATTGATTGTTGATACAACGCTACTGCAACCAAGTTTTCACCGAACTATGTTTGGGAACAACGAACCAATCTCAGCGTGTATTCGTGCGTTTACGGCTGTCGAAGAGTTTTTCGAGTTCAATAAACCAACCGAACGTTTTGCAAATCGGATTAGGTCTGTGTTAAATTAGCTCTAATTTATTCATTAAGACTAAATTGTCAGATGAATTATTTTAAATACAGGGCTGCATAGTTCATAGTAGTACCAACCGGTGGAAACTAACGATTTTAAATTGGCTCACTACTTAACTAGCCTATTGGTCCCAAGCAAATCGATTAAGGTACCCCATTCTAGTTGAAATTCTAGTACTACACTATGTTTGTTTTGATTCACTATGAAAGTTTGACAGAAAAAAAATGAGGGGTTCGTGGATTTTCCTATGTTTCGAGGGGTGCATCGATTAGCTTGGGGCCGAAGATAGTACCAGAGCTGAGCCAAAAACTTGAGCACGTTTCTTCGGGACCTTCTGATCTTAGAGTTATCTCTACGTTAGTACCATAGAGGTAACTCTATGGTAAAACCGAGAGGGGCGACACATCTAAATCTCAATTTTATATGCTCAAAAAATCTCACACTAGCGAATCAATCTTCGAAAAATCTTCTTGCATTTATCGCATCTACATGCATCGCGCATCTTCTTTTTGCAGGAAATCTTCAGAATCGTCATCAATCTTCTTTCTATCTACTCAGCGTGCGAGCAGCTAGCCACAGCACAACACAATCTTTCCTGCAGCGTAGATAGAGTCGTCCCCCTCGGGTAAAACGTTAAAACGTTGCTCCAAATCGATTACCAAGCAGATTACTATAAGAATCCGAAGAATCTAAGATGATTTTTCCAAGTCGATGTCCAAGTAGGATTACCTTGGTAGGGTCCAAACAAGGATTGAAGAGGAGTAAGAGTCTAACAAGGTAGAAAATTTGTAGGTAATATTGAGCCGAGTATTGAGCAAGGTAGCAGTAACACCAAAGATGAATACTAAGATGAAACAGTCGGAAGAAAAACTTTCTATTTTAGTGTCCTTCACGGTCCCTTTCATCCAATGAATACCCCCCGTATGCAAGGTAATTTTGTGGTTTTGCTGTCCCCTCGGTAGAGATGAAATTTTGCGTACTTTTTTTTTTATCAAAACAATCACACGAATGTCAGAGATGTCACATTTTTTAATTAAAGGGCGAACACGAAATTATTGCGACACATTCAACAGGGCATAACTTTTTTACCATTGGGTAAAAATCAACCAAATTTTGCACACTTTCTCATTGATGTGTATTGTGTACATGCTGTCAAACTCGAAGTCGTGTTTTTCGATTCAACGAAAATGGAGGTGAACCAACGCGAGTTGAGAGAACAAATTCTTTCCAAACACCTGGAATTTCCTGACCTGTCGCACCGGCAGTTGGGAAAAATGTTGAACATTCACCATTCAACCGTCTCCAGAGTGTTGAAGCGGTTCCAGGAGCGGTTGACGTTGGACCACGGCAAAGGAGCTGGAAGAAAACCGGGACCGGAGAACAAAAAGACGGAGGGAAAGGTGAAGCGGATGATTAAAGCAAATCCCAACGTCTCAAGCCGTGATTTGGCTAAAAAGATCGGCATGTCGCAGAGCTACGTCCAGAATGCAAAGAAGAGAGCTGGACTACATACATACAAGGTACAGAACTTCCCAAACCGCGATGAGCGGCAACAATCGACGGCTAAAACTCGGGCACGGAAGCTCTACGAGAAGATGCTGACAAAATATGGCTGCTGTGTGATGGACGACGAAACGTATATAAAAGCCGATTTTAAGCAAATTCCGGGGTTGGAGTTTTTCACCGGCAAGAGCAAGTTCGATGTGGACGACAAATTTAAGAAGAAGAAAATGTCGAAGTTCGCCTCCAAATATCTCATTTAGCAGGTCATCTGCTCTTGCGGACTGAGGAGTGAGCCTTTCGTGACAAAGGGCACAGTAAATGGCGAGATCTACAAATCTGAGTGCCTCGAGAAGCGCCTTTTGCCGTTCTTGCAGCAGCACGACGAAGCTCCGCTATTTTGGCCAGATTTGGCATCATGCCACTATTCTAAAAGTGTCCTGGAGTGGTATGAGGCCAATTCTGTCCATTTTTTTTTTCCAAAGAACATGAATCCGCCAAACTGTCCGGAGCTGCGCCCGGTGGAGCAGTACTGGGCAATAATGAAACGGGAACTTCGGAAGAGTAATAAGACAGTCAAAGACGAGAAGGACATGTTAAGAAAATGAAAAAAAAACTGAGAAACTGGTACCGGATGACACTGTAAAGACTTTGATGGAGGGCATCAAGCGAAAATGCGTTCAATTTTACATTCAATTCTCCATTGATTAACTTTTCTTTTGATTTTTGAAGTAAATTTATGTATAAAACTACCCTAAAATTTTGGTTTGATTCTAAACAATATAAGAAAATTGGCATGACATTTTCGGTGTCGCAATAATTTCGTG